TAATTTGGGAACGATATAATAGAAAGTCATTTGAATAATGTGGGAAATGGAGCTGTTTTTCATTTGAATATGGTGCAGTTTGTTTTTGAGTTGGATGACACGAGAAGGATTTGTGGGTTATAAGCGGTGTTCAATAATCATCCAAACTTCATGGCCAGTAGAGGAAGAAAGACCATGGGAAGGATTGAGGAAGATGTAATAGAAAGTAAAACAAAAGCAAGATTTCTATCAATTAAATGCCATAGATGAAAATCTGAGCCAGACGTGTCGGACGGACAAAGAGTGGCTCCGGTGAGGTGGCCGGCGAACCCGTTGGCGGAGAAGTGTTGCATCACTTGAATATGCCATATGGCATATGTGTCCAGAGTAAGTTGTGTAGGAACAAGATTTTTGAGATTAGAAATTAAAAATTTCAAAGGAGTTGGGACTGTGAAACCTGAGAGGGAGGTGGAAAGATGAGAACCGGTTGGGAGGGAAGAAGTTGAATCTTGATCGGCTATGGTTGCTCTGATACCATGACAAGACCCGCTGGCAAGAATAGAAAATGAAAGAGATGGAGAAAAGCTGTAATTTACTATGTCCAAAGAGTAATACAAGGGCTGCTTTAAATAGACAGCAGGCCAAGAAATGAAATGCAAGAAAGTACATAGAGATGGAACAAGTAAGCAAATGCTGATGTGTACAGCTATACTAACAATGCCTTCTAAAATTTTCTTTTTAAGAAAAAGTTTTAGCCAAGGCTCAATATTTTGAATAAAACAAATAGGGTTTAGGCCTTTAGGGTAAAGCCTCAATATTTTGAAAAAAGAAATAGGCAAAATTACAAAAGGGGTAAAATATCGCCTAAGGATTGCCACTTAATCGGAAAAGTTTGGAGCTCAATAAAATCATTTGTAGCTCTGATTGGAGGGCAAGAGAAACAACAAAGTGAGCAAAACCAAAAGAAAAAAAAAACTTAATTCATAAGAATCAAGGAGTACCTAACCTTTGGTCCTGCAGCATCTGTTGAATTCAGATCCAAAAATTAGGAATCAGGATTTTAGAACGGTCAAAGTCCACATAGGAAGCTAGCAATAGTGCCTCGCATAACCCCGCTAACAAAATGAGCAGCATATCAGGAAGCTGAATATCTAAAACACTTATCAGAAGGGTTGAAGATCAGGAAACTGAACCACTGCTTGCTAGTGGAAGCATCATAGCTCCAAAATTCAGATAAAAACCTCTTATTGAATTGCCAATAGAAAGCCGCCAAAACTCTAAAGAACAGTAAACCTGAGCTGTTCAGGCATCCCACACTTTCCTATCATGCACAATCTCTCTCCAGATATTAGAAAGGTTGGTGAGAATAATTAGGAATGAGATTTCATATATATATATATATATTCGCAGTTAATGCAGAAGTATATTCAATCACCTGATCCCGGAAGGACAGAAATAGAAAAAACTTATACCATTCATGAGAAAAGGGGCATCCAAAGAGGAGATGATAGTAATTCTCATTGTCCATATTATGGAGGGGCCAAGTACAGTTGCAAATGATTTCTCTGCTATTGAGATTATCAGTGAGCCTGCAACCAAAAAAATGAAATATTTAATAGTATATTTCTCATGCCAAATCCTCTTGGCCCGACAAAAGTTTGGCAAATGCGAGGAAAGGACTTTGTTCTTGTGTTGAAATGAGAATTTGGATCTAGTTTAGTGTTCCATGTTTAGACTTATATATGTAGAATATATTTTCTTGTACTTTCCTTTCTCGTTTATTTTTCTTTTCATTTACTCTCATATGCACAATCCTTGTGTTTTAGGTTATGAGCCACTTTTTGTACTTTGAACCTTCTTTATTGATCTTTGTTGAATGGACAACAATAGGAATTCTAGAAATCAAGAACCTAATTTGGTGCAGGTTTGTTGTCCATCTCTTTTGTAGATTTCAAGAATTAATTTTGAATTAATAGCCGTCATTTTTTTTCCTTCTTGATTGATGCCTCCCTTTCATATTCTTCTAAAATTGGTTTTTGATTTCTATGAGCCATAATTCCTTTCGATTCTAACTAAGATTGTTTTTTTTTTTTTTTGAAGAAATGCAAATAGCATTTAAAAAAAACCTAATACAATCTAGAAAGCAAAAGCAAACCTTTTAAAATTATCATAATGGATATGCGATCCATTAGATCCCATTTTATCCATTGGGGTGATGGGGATACCAAATATTAAAACAACCCAAAAGGTTGGTTAGTATCCCAGCTTTCCCAAGGGATGGAAAATGAAACCTAGTAAAAATCCCACTTTTCATCATAATGGCTTTAAACAGGTATAATAAGCCTAAAAGCAAAACAAATAAAAGATAACTAGATACAAGAAAAATAAAAGCAACTACTAAACCAGCTATCCAAACATCATTCAGACCCCCCTAAAAAAAAGGTCCAACAAGCTCCCAACAAGAGTAGAAATTGCTGTTGTAGCATCAACACAACCGACAATAGCCACCAAGAACGAACTAATCAATGACAACAAAGTCATAACACAAACTCCCTCCTCGATAGTCCAAGAATCAGCCCTCCACAAGCAAAGTCATACCAACTGCAAATCATCATCACACCTGCCGCCTCATTGCAAAAGCCATCCAAACTGATACTCATCACCACTCTCATCACTTTGACAAGAGAAAAACTAAAAATCTTCAAATCCTTCAAGTCTTTAACCAATAAGACTTGATCTTAAAAAAACAATAGAAAAACAAGTGGCCAAACAACCACCTCCATATTACAAACATCAACCAACAAGAATTCCCTCAACATAGATGATCCACGGCCAAACCCTTTAGACGATCCAAACGATGTTGATAAAGCAATAACAATAGCTCCCAAAACCTCTTTCCGAATGGCTGCATACCCAGCTCCAAACAAACCATAATTGTATTCTTCCACAACTAACGGACTCAAAATCATCCACGGGACTGACTTGATTCCAAGAGTCTTCAAGAATCCAAAAGAAACTGGATCTTTAAAATAGCAAGAACATCCTTTAAAATCCAAACACCCAAACGCCATCAACTTCATAATCATCAACTGATCACTCATCAAGAATCTATTCAAACCAATTATGGAATCAAGAAAATTCATAAACCAAATCAGATCCGAAATCCAGCAAACGTTCATTAGAAGGAATTTAGTCCCAGCATAGACTTCGTTTCCAATATTGTTGTAGGAAACAAAAAACCAACACAAAAACTCCTCCAAATCCACCTTCAGATTTGAAATTTCACAAAAAACAATCAAGAATCTGATACTAGTAGGATAGACACATCCCACATTACCGGAAGCCAAATCAAACCAACGGAGATACATTGGCAAGCAGAAATCATCGAAAACCAATTTCAATTCCAAAGAAACACCAAAATCGTTGGTCCAAAAAAGAACCTCTACCGGATAAATCTTCATCTTCATCGCATCTCTAAGCAAGATTGAGATGACAGAACCGAACAAAGGTGCTCCGTCGAACCAACGATCTCCTCCGATCTACCAAAATCGCCCTTCTCGTCGCAACCGTCGCTCTCGAAACTAAGATTGTTGTTGGCACTCTTAATTTTGCTTAGAAATTTCTATCTCCTATTCAAGCTAAGAGTATATTTTGATCATGCCTAGCTTGAAATTGATGTGTGATGTGGCGCCCACCCCCCTTCGCTTTGCACCCACTCTCTCCCCCCTTTGTTTCGCATTCGATCCCGCTCCCCTTCGCTTGATGGAAGTCCATGAGTCGAAAGGCTTCTGTTTTGTGGGTCCCAAAACCCCATTTCAAATCTATAAGAGGAGAAGGATTAAGGGAAGATTATTGGAGGAAATGTGTTTGATAGGAAACACTTGTAGATCTTAAGTATTTCCTGTCAATCTTCGGAAAACAACGAGAATTTTCTACAAAAACCCACACCAAACCACAAAAATAGTAGATAATATGTATTATTTGATGAAAGTGAAACGGAAAATACCAAGATACAATTGATCCTCTATTTGAGAGGAGTATCTTTCTCCCAAATCTCTAGACGCCACTAAAGCCTAAAGGAAAACCTAAATCTAAGAGATATCAAATTCAGTCCAAATTCAAGATGCCCTAACCCTAGGAAAACAAACTATTTAATGCGTATAATTCAAAAGGAAATCTCTAAACAATCCTTATTCAAATTTCCCTCCCAAATCCCTCAAAAATTCTTTTCCAAAAATCTCCCTTGGATTCTACGGTCCGATCGGATACGCGAGAGGTGGAGAGTTCCACCTGTTTTCTGCCAAAGCCAGTTCCGTGTGGACCAGTCCAATGGACCAGTCTAACCGAAATCAAATAATATTAAAGTAAGATGTTAGAGTAAGATTAAAAAAAATCAAAATAAAACCATTAGAAGTCATACAAGGCTACAAGTATCACTAAATAAAGTCCCTCCCACTCTCAATTTAACATAAACAAATTATCTAATCCTCTAAGGTCATTATTTATGAATTCAAAAATCTCTCACACTCTAATCACTACTTGCATCCATTAAATATTATAGTCACAATATAAAGTTTCAAATTATAAGAATAGCCCACATGAAAAATTACACCAACAATAAATGAAGCAAATAATAACGAAATTGATGACATCCTGTGGATGTGCTGCAACAATTTGTAACAAGACATTATTTAAATATCTTCGCTCATGGCAGAGATGCATTTGCTGTATGTTTTGGCTGTAGAGTACGGATCATTGTACTTTGTTGGCATTGCAGACCATAGTTAAGTTCTCCGTTCTTCCAATCTCGTCGGAGTTTGGTACTCATACGTTATTGTGGAAGTTGAAATTATATTTAATTTCTCATTGCACAGTTTCTACCATTGTGCATTCAGCCTTGGTTCTTTTATTATCCTCTTGTTTTCAGGATTTGGGGCAATACCAACTATTTTTGTCATTTCTTTGCATTTTCTAGTCATGCTTAAAATTGATTTCCCGTTTCTTATGCTTGATATGACCAGTTCTGGAATCCAAGGATGGGATCATCTCTGTAGCTTCTGCATTTGCTGGTCATCAAGAAGGTGCTTTGGGTTTTTGCTCTGGCGACTTTAATTTTAATTGCTATTTGTCATTGGATTTAGTTGGATGTGATAAAAATTGTCCCTTATAGCATCCATTTCTATTCTATATGATCAAATGTTATCATTCCAAGTATGATGTGTAAAAAATTCTTGCTGATGGCCATCTCTGAATCAGAGGTTGAAGATAGAGATCACAAATTTTTATCAAAAGCTATTAAAGAGGCATATAATGGGGTGGACTCTGGTGATGGTGGTCCTTTTGGGGCCGTTATTGTGTGCAATGATGAAATAGTTGTGAGCTGCCACAACATGGTCCTCCATGATACTGATCCTACAGCTCATGCTGAAGTGACTGCAATTCGAGAGGTAATGCTACACACTGTTATTTCTGTTGAACGACACGACACTTATTGGCTGATGATTTTGTGTACACTTCCCTTTTATTTTCTTCTCATAATAAGATCATTCATCCCCTGTTTTTCACATGGGTGGCACACAATTGCAGAGGAAGCAATCGCATGATTGTAGCTTATCGTGCTTACTAAAGAGTTGTTTAGTTGGATTTATTTAGAATGCATGCTCTTTAGAAAAGTAAAATGAAAGAAATGTAATGTCTTTTGAATTCAAAGAAATGTAATGTATTTTGGATGAGCTATTTGGTTTAATGTAAATCAAATAAAATGATTTTTTTTATTTGTTAGGATACATTTAAATACATAAATCTCTCTCTTTATCTATCCTCTCTCTCTCTCTCTCTCTCTCTCTCTCTCTTATGGGGACAATGACATTGGTTGGTTTAGGGGCGATATAAGTGGGGTTGGCATATGGGAGATTGGTGGGCTGGTTCAAGGACAAGGACGGCTTCAGAATAATAGGGGAGGTCAGATTATAGTTGTTGTTGGTGGCCGAGGCGAGTTTGGCATTGCTTGGGGAGGTTGTGGTTGCTCAAGTCAAAGGCTATGGAGGTGGGGTCAACATTGGCGCAATAGAAGAGGTTGGGCATAATGGGATGCAGGGGTTGGGTTGACTTTGATGGAGGTCGGAGTGGCAGGTACAGGGCTTTGACTGAAGGATTTCAGGATGGTGTCTTTGGAATATGATTAATTTGTGCAAATTTGTAATTCATTAAAAAAAATGAAGCTTTATGGGTATTCCAAATTCAATTCAAATATTCTTTGCATCAAATTTACTTAATGCCAAAAATCTGAAACTTTAAAATCCATGTATTGTTTGTACATTACACACTCAATACTTTTGCAACGAAGCAGTCCCTGAACTACTCCTGGGAACCTGGCAGTTTTGTTAGACATTGCAGGATGGTTTCAGTTTACCTAATAATGCCTTGTTCTGCATACTTTTACTCGCAGCTATAGTTATAGCAGGAGCGCCATGCCCGATTAATGATGATTTTCAAGAAGCGTCTATTTCATGATTTTATGTTCGATTATACTTTCTTCTTGTTTGTCATTATGATAATCCTTGGATATTAAGCATATTTTCAAGAAATATTGTTCTTGTAATTGTTCAATATGATTTCATTTTCTTAATTAATAATTTATAGGCTTGTAAGAAGCTTGAGAAGAGAGAGCTGTCAGACTGTGAGATGTATGCTTCTTGTGAACCATGCCCTATGTGCTTTGGTGCTATTTTTCTTGCTAGAATTAAGGTGATTCCTCAATTTACTCGAAGCTTCTATACATATATGTTCACAGCTTTTTTGACAATACAGTTGTCGTTTTTTACAATATGATCATGCAGAGATTGGTCTATGGAGCTAAGGCAGAAGCTGCAATAGCCGTTGGGTTTGATGATTTTATTGCTGATGCATTAAGGGGCACTGCACATTATCAGAAGGCTCACTTAGAGGTCATAAGAGCTAATGGGAATGGAGCCATCATTGCTGAACAAGTATTTGAGAAAACAAAGCAGAAATTCCAAATGTATTGATGTCATGTGACCCTTCCGATCTCTCTTGCAAATTTGTATGAAGTCATTGCCATTTGTACTTCATTGTTCTGAATTGTTGTATTTGATTTCACATAAATCTTCATCTTTCTCCCTGCTCATGATTAGGTGTAAAAGAGAAGCTTTAGTTACATATTGCTTTCGTTCAAACCAATCTTCAAACAGGCTTGTTTTGTTGTAGTTACTCATTAGAGATTACATGCAACAAGCATTCCATTATATGCCTATACAGTCTCTGGAGAGATATAGGCTTCATTTGGGACTGCTTTTTTATTGCTTTCTAAAATGGAGTCTTAGTACAATTTTTTTTTTAATTTTGTACTAAAACTCCGTTTTAGGAAACAATAAAAAACCGTCTCAAACGAAGCCATAGCCGTGCAACTTTTACCTGGCATCTTCTTTGAAGATTGATGGGATAAAAAAATTGCCATTTTAAGAATAAGTAAACGATTTTTGGAAATTATTTAAGAATTGAATAAATTTCAAATATTTTTTTTTTTGGGTGGATTTTTGAGTCCATTAAGATAAACTCACACAAATATTAGGTATTTAAGAATCTTTTTTAATTGTGAGCATTGGCTCACTAGAATTCTTGAGACTTGTGTGTTTGGTCCCTAAAACATCTTAGCGGGATCAGATGTATTTGATTAGCTCTCTCTCCTCATATGGAGAGGCACATCGTGCACAACTTTTTTCAAATCAGTATGCATTTTAATGTGAATTATGGATGTAAAACACTCAAATATGTCAGTATTTTTTTTAAAATTATGTCCAAATTAAACGATCTCCAAAAATTATAAATTCTTTGACAAAATAATCATCTTATTGTGATGATTACAACAATACCAAAATCTTTCAAATTAATGTGTTTAGGTTTTGATCAAACCTATTGAATCAGGTCGACAAAGATAAGAGAACAATCGATTCTATCCCCCTCACGATGTGCCCCTCTGCAAGGAATTTTTATTGGGTCAGGTTATCTGATGTAGAGATACATCATGTAGCCAATAAACAATCGCCATGTGCTCTGTTTATAAAAAGTCCTCAGTTATAAACAAAAAGTAAAAGCACATGGCGGCTGTTTATTGGTTACCCATAAAAATTCCTCTGCAAGAAGTCATTACCAATTGTCTCTACTCCTAAGCAAAGTCTTTATGGCGTTGATTTACCCAGATTTTATCTATTTTCATGCACTTTTATCTGTTTAAATATAGGCATATAAACCATTTTGGTGATAAATTGCTTTTAAAAATTAAAAGACACATTTTAATATAAAAATAATAGTTTATTGTTATATATTTTTAGGCTGTCTTAATATTCACCTTCATTCAATCTTGAAATTATTATTGCCAATTTAATATTTAAAATACTGATTGATTCGTGGCATGAGAGCTTAAAACTTATAATATGGAACTCATTCCAACCAAATTCTATGATGTTAACAAACAAGATTATGATTAGTCTTGACAAAATCCAAGTTTTCTTAAAAAATAAAACTGGCAAATCTATAAAAAAAAATTCCAACGTTCCCTTGAAAACTTTGCTAGTTAATTTAAAATAATGAAAAAATTATCAAAGAAAAATTTAATAATATTTAAAAGTTGTTAAATTTTATGAAATATAGTGTATGATTTTTTATTTATTTTATTCATAGTGATTCTTAGGAATTTATATATAATGACATATCATATATGTATATATATACTAGATATAAAAATAGATGAATTATGAGGTATGTATTAAGATCGTCTAAGAAATTCGGGCACGGACAGCGGCAGAGCAAGAGAATTGAGGGGCAGGGCAAGAGAATTGAGGGGCTTCATCAACGGGAGTAGGCGGTGATTCTGCAGAGAAATCTCATCCGCTCAGCTCGGATTCCGGAATTCTGCCGTCCTCGGCCGAAATAGAGAGAATCGAAGCTCCTCTGCTTATTAGGTTTTCGTATAAGCCATGAAATCCCACCCGCCATGCTCCTCGAAAACGCCCGTCAGGTTCAGAATGTAAGTTCATTGCCTTCTCGTCACTAACAATCTCAATGTCCCCACCCAGGCTTTCAACCTTTATCTTTCTCTCTGTCTTTTTCTCTCTTCGCGGAGCTGTTGCATTTTTTTTTTCTGTTATTTTCTTGGTTGAATTACACACTCTTTCTACTGACAGATTCCTGGTTCAAAATATGAACTCGCATGTTTCAGGAAACTATTCTTTGTTTTTTTTTTTTTTAAATATGGTTTGGATTCTTGATGGGATCAGCTAATTGAGGATATGGTAGGCACATGGATTTTTTTTGTTTGTGATAAGGTTTTGGTTTTTTTGTTATTTTCAACAAGTTACTCTACTTAGGGGAGGAATCAACTTTGCATTTAAGGAAGGGCAAACTCATTATATAAAAAAACTAAATAAATAATTCTAAACTTTACATTCTATTTTGCATTTTCTGATAATATTGCATAATTTCTTTATTGAGAACATATTCATTCTTAATATATGGCACTTGATAGTCATTGGGCCAACCTTTGTTTAAAACTGTGCAATATAAAGCTCGTCTTGAGGTCCACATCAATGCCATTCCAGTAAAAAAAGCTTCGAGGTTTATGCGTCAAGTTTTTTTTATGAGTCTTGTGCCTCAACTTGGCTGAGGTTAGCTTGCACCTCAACTTGGCTTAGACCTGCCTTGAGGAGTGCCTTGCCTTATTGGTGTGAGGCGCACGCCTCACTTGATTTATATATATTTTGAATAAAACTTACCTAAATCTTAAACTAAAGCCTCGAACAAATCATGCCTTCTTGCACCCCCAAGCCATAGCAACTTCTTCTCAACAAATTCGACCTCCAGCCCACTGCCTTTGTCGTAGCCAGCACTAAGAATCACCTGAAAGCTGCACTCCAAGATCATCGCCATCTCCTCTAAAATTTTGGAGTATTATTCTCATCTTTTTGTTAATGACAAGTGTGGGCTTCGAAAATTCCATATGTGCGCTTCCGGCCTCTCAGTGCCATATCTCTTTTCTTATTTATTTGTGAGTGACGGTGGAGAGTTTTAACAGATTTAAGTTTTGGGTGAATTTTCAGAAGGCAGATTGGGTTTTAAATAAGACACTATCCAGAGATTTCGCCCTCATTTTGTGAGGACTTTTTGATATAAGTTCTGGTTTCCTATAGGCGCAAGCCCCTATAGTTAATTACCCCTCCCGATAACAAGAGAGAACTTTCAATTATGGCTAGTCGTTAAAGAGGTTATATGGGTTGTAAATCCAACATATAATAACAACAGTTTTAGGGTTTGAATTTGATTTTATGATTTAGAATTTATCACCATGAACTTAAAACTGGTGGTGGGGGGAATGAGGACGAGCCCGATCAAGATCCCATGGTTCAGTCGTCCTGGGATGTCATGATCCTTGGTCTATTTAGTTAGAGGAGGTAGTCGACCCAACCTGACAGATGACACCTTATTGGCAGCATGGGTTGCTTCGTCCAAGAATACCTTGTAGACCTGGGTTGGTGTTTGTCTAAGGAGATAGATTTGAATCCACCTTAGTTGACAGAAGATTTCATGTCTATCGAATATACCCTATGACCAATGGTTGCGGGAAGTGGGCGAGTTTTAGTTTTAGGTTTTTAAGATAATAGATTTCATTTCAGGGATTTAGACTTTTGTTGGATTTGAGATTTGACCAATCTGGTTGAGATTTTCGATTAATATGACCATCATCGGGGAGATGTTAGATGTTAAAGTCATTGTATTATTGTAGAAATTTGGGAGGCATCTTGCAATTCAAGTCATGTCGACTTCGGTCCTTTCAAGGAGGAGGATGAGATTTGAGTATTTAACCCGCGCAACATTCTTGAACCGTTGGATTTGGGACTCGGATGTAATGATCAGAGCACATGCGGGATATATTTAGTTTAAACATAAATGTTATATTAGTGAGCATTTGACATTGCGCAGCATTCTCAGACATTTGTGTTTATAATTTTAACATGTTTGTTGGAGCACATGCAGGATTTTGTTTAGTTTGAAAATAGAATAAACATTTGACCATATGTTACATTCTCAGACATTTGTGTTTGTAACTTTAACACGTTTGTCGGGGCACATGTAGGATGTATTTTTTTTGAAAATTGAATGAGCATTTGACCTTGTGTACTATTCTCAGATATTTGTGTTTATGATATTAACAAGTTTGTCGGAGCACATGCAGGGTGTTGCACTTCAGTTTAGAGAATCATATTTAGTATATAAGGGGGGGGGTGTTTAAAATATGATCCATTGCGCAAGTGATTTCATTTAGAAAATAGTCGAGATTTATTTTAAGGGCCTACGAATGCCTTCTGTCCGCTTGTACACATGTTGCTGATTTGGTTGCATTAGATGTTTGCTGTTTCTTGTAGATGAGTTGTAATCCTTTCAAATTTGTCCACATAAAACATGTTGAACGTATAACAGGCTCATTCAGTGGCTTGTAGGGATTTAGATTTGTTGTAATCATTTAACATCTTGTTTGCATATGACATTTTATATGTATAGCATGTTTTCTACAAGGGTCCGTGGACACTTGTATTGACTGCATATCATCCGGTGTTTGCTTGTAGATGACATGTAGTGGGTAGGATGGGTCTTCTACAGTGGCTCGCAGGAGCTTGTTATGATTGTGGTGAATCTTCTATTACTGCCAACAAGTGTTCGTGTTTACAACAATTATTTTCGCATATGCTTGTAGGAAATATGTTGGATGTATGACAGGTCTTTTATGGTAGCCTGTAGGTGGACTGATTTGTTCGATATAAGCTCATTGTCCTTGCTTGTAGGCTAGTTGTTGTGGGCACTACGAATTTCCTATTCCTACAAACAGGTGAATTGTAGTATGTTGTATTTTGCCTTTGGGTTGAAGGAAACAATTTGAAGCTCTAACTATCTTAGATCTTGATGAATTGAACGCTTTCTCCTCAAATGCCATGCTTCATACTTCTAATTGAAGGCTTGAAATTGGAAGTCACATATATAACTGACATAAGAGGACCATCCACTTGTAAGGATGTTTGTTGAGCAAAAGCTGTTGTTTCTTGCATTTTTCTTTATTAGTTCATTAGTTGTGGTTGGAGTTAAATATTGAAAGATTTATATCCTTGTGAATCGGTTGAATCCTGACTCTAGCTCGCTTATGTACGATTAAATGGATCATTGCCGCATTATATTTATAGATATTTTGAATCAATAGATAATCATCAAACTTCCAATCATCGTGGCATAGCTCTTAGCTTTCTAGATCAGTAAGATCCTTGCCCTTCCTCACATATTCTTAATATGCCTCTTTCTGACATGACAATGAGTAACCATCTTGGAAGAGTGATGGAAAGAAGACAAGCGAGGCTCCTATTAAAATGCTAATAACATAGGAATGGTCTAATGCATTTGAGTCAAATGAGAGATCTCTTGGTATCATCATTACTCTTTGAATAGATCTCTTCAAGACTGTTGGTTGTCGGAAGAAATTTCTTGTAATCGTCAAATTTATTACAAGAATGAATGTTGCATACATGAGAAGGATAAGGATGTGAGAATTATTATGCATATTTTGTTGAGCATTTCTCCAAGCTCTTAGCAAATAGATTCTTCTTGCATAAAAATGTTGGAAAATATATACTTTTCTTCTCCCTCCAAATATTCTCCATTGCAAGGAATAAGAAAATATACAATTGTCTTTAGTAATTTCTTTGTTGCGTGCATCCCCGATTCCATTACACCCTTAATTTCTATTGAATATCATCTTAAAAAACATCAGTACTACATATCAATATGAACGAATCATTTGACAATAAAGATGCTTCCAAATTGTTGGTTCTGCTTACTAAAACTCTTGAACTAACAATTTCTTTGCATTAAAATTAATAACTTGTTCATTATTAGAATTAGAGCTTCAAGATTCGCAATGAGTCGCCATTCCTAGAAACATGCTTAAATTCATTAGATTCCTTTAAGCAATGAAATTTACTTAGTCATAAAATTCTCTTTAATGCCGAACTAGATCTCAAAGTCAGAAGTCATTGTAGAAGGCTTGGGTTATTCAAGAATCATTGTGTTTTGAATTGCCTTTGTACATTGACTTCAAATCCCTCCGAAGCTTTAGAATTAGTCTACAATTTATAAAATAAAGTGGGGGTCCAATCTTGTTTAATTTCAATTTAGATAGCCTCCCTACGTCCCTTCCCGTGAAGGAAGGTAGGGGAGGACACTTGCCCTTTTGGCTCGGCTCGACCGGATCAAATCAACGGCGAGGAGTATGGGGAGCAAATCGACTCCAAAAAGAGTCTTCAAGTCTTTCAATGTGCGCAACATGCTGATTTAAGCATTTTATTTTAATTTTAATTAGATTTAAGAATATTTTTATTCTCCTTGAAAATCTAGTAGCCTTTCGGTGCCCCCTCCCTGCGAGGGTAGGTTGGGGAGGGCACTTGCCATTTTGGCTCAACTCGACCGGATCAAATCGACGACGAGGACTTTGGGAGAGCGAATCGATCCCGATATAGTTTTCGATCCATTCGGTCGGATAAGATTGACGAGCGAGGGCTTCGGGGGACTGTATCAACCCCGGGACTTCCTTCAAGTCTTCAATTTATTGCGATACATGTTATTTTAGTTTTAATTTAATTTTAAAAATATTTTTTTATTTCTCCAAAAAATTCGGTAGCCTTCTGGCGCATCTTACCCACAAAGGGAGGTTGGGTAAGGCACTTGCCATTTTGGCTCGACTCGGCCAGATCAAATCAACGTCGAAGAGATTGGTAGAGTGAATCGATCCCTTTAGTATTTTCGATCCCTCGATCGGATCAGATTTGACGACCAAGGGCTTCGGGAGACTGAATCGACCTCGAGATTTCCTTCAATTCTTTAACTTGTTGATCGTTGTGTTATCTGCCTCTTTTTTAATTATATATATAATATTATATTTATTAACATTATATATAATATAATATAATATATAACATATCATAATATTAT